TATATATATATATATATATATATATATATATACAGGGTATCCGGTAACTGATCGAGCAACCGCCGTGTACGAGTAGAACGAGTAAAAATAATCATAAAAGTTATATACCATTTTGAAACTTTCTCAATATTTATCCCATAATTAATTAAAATGTATCAACGAATAAGCTCACGAGAAGCAGTAGAACAGGCTTTGTGTGTAAAAGAAATGGCTTACCTCTTAGCAACGATGAATAATCAGCTGATTTCGAGGCGGAATAACGTATACGTGTCGCTTGTTACTCCGCCTACAATAGGCCCATTGTAGATAGTAATTAATGTTATGTTTGTGTTGAAATTTACTTCACTATACTTAAAAAATTAAAGCAGCGTCCTAAGATCCACTGGTAACACTGACAGCACGAATGCACAAATGTGAATGTGAATGCCCTTCTGGACTGCTATTCCGTTACTGTGGTTCCGATAGATATCGGATCAGTAGGTGTTGTTGCGCAGTTTTTCCACGGTATAAAAAAGCTGCGCAACGACGCCTACGATGCGATAACTGTCGGTATACGGGAACGGAATAGGCCTGTTCTTTGTAGCTGCACTACTGAACTAGTGCAATAAGTTAGAGTGAGAAAACGTATATTTGTTTCACTTCAATATATTGCACCAGTTCAGCAGTGCAACTACAAAGAACAGGCCTAATAATACCTCTGATCAGTATAGGGATGCTGATTTCTGATTCAAGAATCGATTCTTTTTTGACGATGCTTCAATTATTTTCTGCAATTCTTTGGATAGTCGATTAATCGAAAATCGATTCTTTTCTGTACTGAATCGAGAATCGATTATTCATAGGCCGGTATTCATAATCCGATCTTATATTTAAGATCATTTTAAGTACCATCTTAAGATGTCATGAACCAATCACAGAGCAGTATTCGCATCTTAAGACATTACTTAAGACGGTCTTGAAATAAGATTCGACTATGAATTCCGGCCATAGAGTCCTTTCGGACATGCCGGGATCACAGACTTCTATATACTACTAACTGAAAACTTATGACTTCCGCCGCGCAGCAAGCATTACCACGTCCTGTGTGCAGAAGCCATAAGCCTTCACACACAAATGCTCGTAACCGTAGCCATAATACGTAAACTTAAGCTGAAGAACCAATCAGGATATTATTATAAATTTATTTATTCCAAAAGACTATAAAAATGACACTAAAGATGGAGTCCCATGACACATATTTTCGCGTAACGCGTAACCGCGTAACCAATCACATATTTCTATTCTTTTAGGAGTTCCAATAGAAATAATATATGTCGCAATTTATTGGTTACGCGCTTACGCGTACGCGAAAAATGCATGCCATGGGACTCCATCCTACGGCAGAGTTCCCACTTAGCGCGTCACGCGTCGCGTCGTCCGAGTTAAGCTAATCAAATCGTCCCATTTTATTCGGCGTAAAGTTACGCAATAAAATGGGACGATTTGATTGGCTTAACTTGGACGACGCGACACGTGACGCGCTAAGTGGAAACGCGCTTTAAGTTTTATCTTATAGCATGTTTGACTGGCTCTGGGTTAAAGATGCCCGATTCTGAATCGATTCGATTTTTTCCCCAAAAATAGGTTTATTCGTGTTGTTTGCACTCTTCGTACTTTTCGTATTTAAAACTAGACAGAAGTATATTGGAATGTTTCGAAGAAGCAAAAACGAGACAACTAACTCGATTGTTTCTTCCAAGCGTCTGATTAGGCGTCCATTTCTTTTTAAAAGCAAAAAGTATGAAACATGCAAGCAACACGAACAACACTTTTTCCCTAAATTTGTTAGGGAAAGAATCGAATCGATTAAGAATCGTGCATCTCTACTCTAGGTTAACTCACTCTGGATTATTCAGCCTACGTTTATTGGTCGAACAAGTACTTATAAGCTTTGTGATTGGCTAGTAGAGACTTATGACGTCATTAATCGCTCTCGGAGCGATTAACCCAGGGCCAGTCGAACACGCTATTAATCTTCGTTTCCTCACGCACATCTCGAAATACGCTTAGTTTTGGCCAATAAAAGAATAGCTTTCCAGTGGAGAATTGAATTCTATTAGAAAGCTATCCTCCTATTGGATATCAAACGTCGTACGTCGGACATCGGACACGGTGTGAATCCTGCATTACGATACGAACGCGCCCATTGAAGAATCGCGTACGATTCGTAGAAGAGTATAGTATGATTCGACGGTAAATCAGCCAGATTTACATTCTCTAGTAGAGTAACTCAATAACGGATTAGACGAATTATTTCCAAATAGTATAACTCAATGGCAGAGATCAGAAAAACTTTTAATTTAAAAAAATGCAACTTTGACGACAAATCGAATAAATTTTCTATTTTTCAATAATATATATATACACATAGTCCAATGTTAATTCGGATTATCCAATCGTTATATCAGGGGCTTGTCAGGACGAGTCCTGTGGATAAGTGGAAGTGGTCACACGCATTATTTTTTTTCTAAATTTAGTATACCTGGAATTGTCTCGAAAGAGCTATCAGATTATCATTTATAACCTTAAACAGTATTTCCGTGTACGTGTTAAAAATGTCAGAACGATAACATTTACATGGCGTTGAGTTGTCGGAATAACAACACCATGGTTTCTACAGTCTTATTTGTTTCGTTATTTCTCTTCTTGCTCAACGTAGAAGCCGGCGTGTTGAATCTTCCGCATCCAAAATTATTGGTTGTTTCGTACGATGCATTCAGGTAAATGTGTTATATATGAAACGTCTAAAAATTAAAATGTCACTTGCATCTTATATTACTTTTCCTTCTTTTTTTCTGCAGATACGACTACTTCGAGAGAAACTTGACACCGTTCATGAGCCAATTAAAAGCAGCAGGCACTCATGCGGATTATATGATGAATATCTTTGTTACCAAAACATTCCCCAATCATCATACAATGGCAACAGGATTTTATGCAGAAACACATGGGGTCATAGATAATGAGTTTTATGATTATACCACCAATAATGTCACGAAGTATTCATATAAATTATTTCACTACGACAACAGTATTCTCCCTATTTGGGTATGTACAGCAATAATTGTCAATATTATACTTTGTCTTGTAAATTATGTCTCATACAAAATTTAGACTTTATCGATTGTATAATTTATATGATTTAGACTATCAATGAAAAAAGTGGTAAAGGCAGGCATAGTGGTACAATGATGTGGCCAGGTTCTATATATGAGTATCAAGGTATAAAGCCTACCTTTGCACAAGTGAGTGGATATTATTAAATGATATAATTTTATATACCCTAAGATTTATTGTATTGGATTATATCAACTATGTATTTATATGTTGCATATATATATAATATATATTTTTTAGCAATTCAATGATACAATCTCATTTGAAGATAGAATTGATATGTTGATATCGTGGTTTGTACATCCCACCAACCCAATAAATTTTGGGATACTATATATTGAGGATCCAGATTACCACGGTCACGCTATAGGAATTAATAGTGCAGAATTTAATGAAGTTTTACAGAGACTGGACAATATTACAAGATATCTCCATAACAAAATAGATCATTATGGTTTGACAGATCTAAATGTAATTCACTTAAGTGATCATGGTATGGCGTCTGTTACATTGGAAAGAATAATAGATTTAACAAATTACATAAACTCTAGTGATTACACCTTTGTGGGAACATCTCCAGGATTACATATTTTCCCACATGCTGGTAAGATTGCTTTGTAATACGAAATAAATTATTATCTATGTGTTACAATATTTCCTTTTAAGACGTTTTTACTGTTTTTTCCTCCTCCAGGGAAAGAAGAGCAGATTTATCAAAAATTAAAGTTTGCTGCAGAGCAGACAAAAACATTTAAAGTATATAAACGAGAAGATATCCCGAAAAAATATTGTTACAGTAATAACGATCGTATAGGACCTATTTTTGTTATAGCTGAAATAGGTTATGCATTTCAGAATCTCTATGATGTGATAGAATACTACAAACAGAAGTTTAATATTACAGGTAATTTTATACTGTACACATGTTTACTCTTATGCTTATCGTATTGTTTTTAATATTAAATCATTATTCCCAATTAGTTAACAATCAAACAGAATTTGGATTGCACGGCTACGACAATGGGGATCCCGAGATGTATCCATTTTTTTTCGCGAACGGGCCCGCCTTCATTCCGGGGTGTAAATTAGCTCCTTTCAACAATACAGATCTATTTCCCTTATTTTGTCAATTACTTGATTTGAAGTGTCCCACAGTTAACGGCACTTTATCGCATGTAATAAAGTGCCTTCAGACACAATATTTTGTACGATATCCAGCTGGCAGGACTGTACGATTTCCATCTACCATAGTCAGTAAGTACATGTATATTCGAATGTATTTTGATAATTTTATTTTATCTCCTAAATTTTTGTATTATAATATTGTATAATTTGTATTATAATATTATAATGTTTGTTTCAGTAATTGCCTCAATTCTTTCTCTACTAACGGCAGTAGCGTTATTTGCATTGAATATAATATGCGTGAGAAAACGAAGATTAAATTTCATCAATCTAGCAAAAAGTGAAAATCAATAGAATTATAGGTAAATAAATATAGGAAAAATATGTTGATGAAAATGAATGTATCCTCTCTCAAAATTGAGAAAATATTTTTTTTTGTGACTTCGCATTTTTTTTAAATTAGCGAAAAATAAAAAATAATTTTAATAAAATTTAATGATAGAATCATCTTTAATTTCTAAAAGTTTGGTTCTTTTTTTTTATATCAGACAATAATATTGCAGAGTTACTAATAGAAATGATATTGATTATAAATGATATTTTAAGGTAGTTTTTAGCTAGTTAACTAATTTTTAATTAGTAAATTAATGTAAAATAAGAATATCGCGTGATATACATATCATTGATTTTTATAAATTTAGACAATGAAAGCTAATTTATTCTTTAAATGTAGATCTTGTATCGAAAACACGTTATTATAATTCCTCTTTGTATTATTATAATTATGTACATTTAGTGATAAATATTTAAATTCTTAGAGAGATAGCATTAGTATACAGATTCTTAGGCTTTCTCTTGAATATATAAAAAATTGTTTAAAACATAAAATTAGAGAACATGTATACACATGTATAGCAAATTTGTTAAGTTATTTCTCACCAATATATCAATAATGTAACGTATGAGTACACGATACTTAGGCAAAATTATTCGTATACGTAATTATCCGTATGTATATTAATGAGTGAACAATACAGTTAACGTTTATTGTCCGTCCGAATTTTACTTTTAAATGAGTTTATCGAGTGAATATGAGTATCCAAAAGCTTTGTGGGTCGAAAATTGTATCCTTCGTTTATAACATTTTTTATATCACACGAATAAACATGGATGAATGATCTAAGAAGAATTAGTTGTGCCTACTTTCGAGCCATTTGAAGCAATTTTCCGCCCAACCCGTCTGAAAATCCTACGAAACGGATATTACGGAATGGAGTTACTTACGAGGATATCCCATCTCAAGGATCAAGTATTCTTCGAATTCCTTTCTCACTCATTATCCGATCTAATTGCACCGGTCGTGCCGGCGTGCTAATCGCGCGAGGCGTATATAACTGATGCGATTTGCATTTAGTTATTCCGCATGAAAGTCCCCGTGATATCTGTCCGCGAAATCCTCTAATTAATGTAATGACACAACACGCAAGTCTCCCGTTCTTCGAGAGAACGTTCCCAGGTAGAACAAAAAATCACGATGACGTCAAAGTAACTAAATACAAAAAATATGATTCTACTGCTAAGAAAAACGATTCCGTTTTATTCCGCTTCTTTCGAGAATATTGGTTATCTTCAACAATATTTTCTTAATAATAGCGTTAAAATATATTTATGAAAAATTTGAACAAAACTTATTGTCATGTATTAAAAAGAAGAATTATACTCTTTATTATAATACTTTATCCAAAACAAAATTGGCTCAACTCTATATATTAAGTATTGGTTATCTTTTCAACAATATTTTCTTGATAATAGTGTTAAAATATATATACCAAAAATTTGAGAAAAGCTCAATGTCATGTGAAAAAAAGAATTATTCTTTTTATCATAAAACTTTATCCGAAATAATTTGACTCTATTCTACTATGTTATGAAAATGAATTATAAATCGAATTTTTGTTTTTACTTAAGACTCTTGAATATTCGTAACATCTATCTCTTTTTTAATAACGTCAGAAGCGAGGAAACGCATGCTAAAAATTCTTGCAAAATACATTGAAATAAAAAGATAAAAAACGACACTTGCAATCGACCGAGCAAATCTGTAAAATAATTTGAACACTTCCCTTTTGCTGTAACAATCAATAATTTGCCGTTAATTATGGTGACAATATATTTTTTTTTTTTTTTAATCTATCTCTTCGCATGATTCTATCATATTTATTTACGGTACATTATCCAGATAGCACAGAGAATTGAAAAAGAATTCAGTCATATGTCGCCAATTTTATGTTCATTTTTAGGTGCAAATAGAATTCTTTTCACTAAACTGAACTTTGAAGAATTCTTTTCACATATGAAAATGAACTTAAAATTGGTGACATACGGCTGAATTCTTCTTGAATTCTCTGTGCTATTTGGGTATTAATCGTCAGAACGAAAGGGAAGTGTTTGGACTATTTTATAGATTTGCACCATCAATTGCAAGTGTCGCTTTATGGATATATCTTTTCATTTCAATATATTTCGCAAGAATTTTTAGTATGCGTCTCTTCACTTCTGACGTCATTAAAAAGAAATGGACAATACTTTGCAAACTTATACTGTAATTCTAGACAAAATCGTAAAACTCGTAACTTGTTCTCGTAAGACTCGTAAGAACTTACGAATAGATCTGCAATTCTATGCGGACCGTATGTCATTTGATAACTCTTAAATATCTACGATTTTTCTTTTTTTTTTTTCGTAAGCTATGACTTTACGATTTTACGATTTTATTTTACAATTTACCTGTATAATTGCTTAGAATTGCAGCATTAATATGATCTTCAAACTTATGAAATACTTGAAACAGATAATATTACTTAAATGTAGCATGTATTTTTCTGTGTGTAGGAAGTGACTATTAAAACTCACTTTTCAATGACTCGGTTATTTTATCGTCATCTTATGACGTTATCGCGATTTTCTGTTCTATCTGGTTTCGCGTCATTGTGCTCGGGCGCGAATAATTGACCAGTAAGAACGCGATAAGAATAACCGGGAGCAATTTTCGTGCGTGTGTGTGCGCACACTTCCTCCCTCGCGCTAGGCTTGATACTAATACACATAATAATACGATCGTTATTGCGTCGTCTTTGTAACGGTGTAGAATTAGTTGCACATGCGGGATAGGAGAGCGGAAGAGAGAGGAAGAACGATAACGGTCGGGATCGTTTATAAAACATGCTGCGTTAACGTTGCCGCTGACGATTCCGCTCGATTTGCCTATTTTATGCAAGGGTGATTACGTATGGCCGCTATTAACGTAGATACGCAAGCGAGAAAACGAGGACATGTGTATCACGTGTGCAGCTTTGCTTTCCGTGGGCGGCGTATCGCGCGAAGAGATCGCCGCAGATTATCGCCGTGGGTGCAAAATTGCAATTAGCAGTCGCAACCGAGCACAGGAATAGAAAATATTGGATCGGTCAAGAAGTTCGGATCGATTTTGCGCCTTCTTCGATCGTAAACCGCTTTCTGTCGCAGAAGCATCTCAGGCAACGATGGCAGTTGCCAGGACTATGCTCTTTTAAAGTGAATCAGTAAAAATATTTCTGATTCTATCAATATTTTATCACAATCAATGAATATTCATTGATTTTCAGTGAAGACATTCCCACTGCATTCGTCTTCATCTTATCTCATTGATTTTGATCAGTGAAAGTAAGATTTCACTGCAAAATCTATACACTACAAAGTCGTAATACGTTGTGTCAAATCCAGTTTTCTGCGTTTGTGGCAATAGAATTATTGTGCTTAGACAATCCTCGATTTCATCTGGTACTTACTATACCTATACTTTCCGCAGAGAATAATTGTGCAGCGTTTGATACAGATCGATCAAAGGATTTAAGAGTCTGTAGGGAACATACAAACAGACAACATTCTACTTAGATATTGCAAATTACATTCAAATATACAAATATAAAAAACGATTAAATTATAAGTTACTGTATCTATTTTGAATATTAATCCTTTGCACTCGGAGACATCTCGTGAATCACCTACCAGCAACTCGACGGCACTTTTATACGGAATAATGAATGGATAATGAATCGCTTTATATTAAATAGTATAGCGTTGAAACCAATTATTTTGTTGTAATAATATTTAATGTATAATCAATTATACTACCAATTATTTTGTTGTAATAATATTTTTGTTGTAAGAACTTTTTCTTATATTTTTGTTGTAATAATATTTAATGTATAATCACCAGTAATCTCTTTATGTCCTTTAAGATGGATCCTCCGAGTGCAAAGGGTTAATAATATATGTAATGTTTAAAAGAGACAACAAATTGCATAAAATTTTTATTTCATTACACTGTATGTGATATAATATATATTAGAAAAATAAAAAAATATTTATTTGGTGGGCACTAATAACATATTTGTTCAAATTAAAATTATGTTTTCTAAATAGAATAAATAATTACTTTCATGAAAGGTAATGATGTTTTTTTAAAGGAAAATATATATTTTCTCATTTAAAAGTAACATTGTTTCCTTAATGTAAAATTTTCTTAATTAAAAATTTCCAATTTCCTTGTACGCATTTGTAAAGGAAAATGTATGTATTTCCTTGTAAAGAAAATAATATATATTCCTATAGGTAAATATGTTATTGATATCCATCGAATAAATATTTTTTTATTTTCTAGATATTTTTCCTCCTAGGATATGTGATGAATTGGTACATTTATCTTTCTGTAGAGGTAAGAATGTAACCATAAACTTTTGTGGGCTCTAATTTATTTAGAAAACAACGTTCATAAATTTACATAAGGATTCTAAAGATTAAACAAAAATATAAATTTTTTTCATAGACTTTCTAGTAAATCACATTCTTTAAATGACACCCATAGATTATTCATTGTCTACATAGATATATCCCATACATAGTTTACGTTATTTGAATATGTAGATTTGAAGTATCATAATTTACGCGTAAACGTCCCACGCCTCAAGGAATACTTGTAAAAGGTATTACTCTTAGTTCTCAAACTATCTTAGCTCTCAATCTTTAATGTTAATTAAAGTGTTAATTAATGCTGTTAGATAATATTTTACTGTGTATGCAGCGCAATTTCCATCAAATTCTCACGTTTCATAATACAACTCCAATCTTAATGAGAAGGATCCCTTTCATATATAAAAGAAGTTAATTAAAAGTAATTGATAATATACATAGAAATAGATAGTATACATTAAAATAAATAGTATACATAAGCAAAAACAAGCGTAAACAGAGGAAGTCGTTAGCCTAAGCTAAATCCGATTGTAAATAGCCAGTGGTGTTGATTTATATGTTAGAGATACATAGAAAATATAATTCAGGAAAAAAGGTTTATATATACTCAAACAGTACAAGGTGTCCTGGAGACGTCACAAGGATGTCCTGAGGACGTTTCTACGTCCTCAGGACATCCTTAGGACTTACTTTGCACGTCCTTTGGACATTTGTGCTATTAAGGTAATCATATAAAAATATATATGATTTTGTACATAATAATATATAAATTTTTTGTCCATATATGTGTGTGTAATATTACATATGACTATATCTAATTATATATGTCCACACATAAAACAAATATTGTTAAATAAAAAAGGGAAAACATAATTTCAATTAAACATTGAGACATCATAGGCTACCATAAACATAAATATTTATTTTAATTGAATTTTCACAACAATATTCTTTTCAATGCGGACAAATAGTATAATTGCATTTAATCATATATGGCCATATATGAATTTTTTTCCCGGGAAATGCAGAAAGAAATGTGTGTAGAGAAGAAAAACGAGAAAAAAAAATATGAAGAGTATATTCAAAATATGTACAACAGACATTATAGACGTAATCATATATCGTAATATCATCGATATAGCAGTAACATATAATCATATCGTAACATATATCGACATAGCAGAGCATTTGAAAGAAACATCAGAAAAGACATCACATGAACGCAACCGTTTTATCGATTTCTAATCGCAACCGTCCGCTCGTAACCGTTGCGCACTTATTACTCCATTGTCGAAGAAGCGATGACTTGCCTTTGAGAGCTTCTCTTATCGACTAAGATAGATAAGTAAGTAATAATAACAATGTACACTCTATGATGGAGTTAATTATCTCTTATTG